GGTAGCTTAGCACCTTTACCTCTTCTTCGGACCCAGATCTGGTCAACTCCTTTCACTTCGTACACAACTACCAACCATTCCAATGCAGAAGTAATAGACGTGTGTGGAAGATTAGAGAACATTTCTTTAATATCGGAGCTAGCAGTGAGCATTTCCTCATACTTTGAAACAACATGGTTAAAGGTCGTCAAGCGTGGAAGAAGATCGGACGAAGATTTGAGATTGAAGTCACGGTTGCTATCCACCGGTAGTGACCACACCAGATAGTTGACAGTTTTCGATACCAGCCTACTGAGTCGAGCAAGAGAATCTGAACAGGATGGACAAATAGGTCGCCATTGTCTAATGTCTTTATGCTTAGGCAAGCCGTAAGCTTTACCCAACTCACACTTATAGTCCCACCGGACCGTCTTCTGAATTTTTTTCTCAAAGTATCGAGACTTGATATCCTTGATCACCTCCTTCTCGTTATTACCACAATCCATAAATCCTACGTTTTTCAAAAACAACCCATCCAAGCCTTCCTGATACACTGTCGGGCAGCACACAAAAGTATCACCTAAATTATGATCGATAGCACATGTTACTAATCCAAAAAACTTGGACTTTCATTCCTGTACCACCCCTACCTCAGATTCCCTATATACCACATGATCCTTTCTATCATTAAAGCAAGCTTGTAACTCAACGGTTGGAAGATGGAACAACGTAGTGTCTTCCTGGACAATACACAAAGATTTGACAATAAACTGATGAAGAAAAAAAATATTAGTACGTAGATTGTGGCAGGGAATATTACGGGAAAGTTTTAGCAAGGGTGGGACGTCCAGAGAAGAAATACGGGCAACAATGTGTCCTTCAGAGTTACGTGGAAGACTGAAATCGGAGGTCAAACATTAAAAAAACAAGGTGGGGGACCTAGCTTCTTATCTGAAGTTATGCAAGTAGTCTCCTACAGTTTTATTTTTCGGACACACAACCTTAATTCTTCTACAAATAATATCCCTCAGAGATTTACGAATAGCAGATGTACGTACCGTACGTATGCATAATTGTCGTAATTTCGATTTCGACAGACTTGCATCAAACGGAATCCTCATAACCGGCTTAATCCGTATATTAAAATTAAACTTATTTCTGAGAACACGCGCCAATACCCCCCTTAAGGTTTTCCTAGTATCTTTCTTGGAGAAGGACCGAATAGCAGAATATAGAGCAACAAGACCCTCAAATCGCAATTTGTAAAGAGACTTCCGTGAGGAAGGGGAGGAAAGAATCGGCACCAAGCTCCGTTTCCTATCCTCGAACCGGGAGCAATATTTAGTCAGATTCTCAATTCTCAACGTATTACCTTACGACAACCATGCCCTAGCATTTTTCAACAGACACACTGCTGTATCCTCTAGTTTCACCGTCGTAGAGTCGTACTTCCTTTTCAACACCTTCCATGTATCGCACAACTTATCTCCACCGGAATAGACCACAAAAAATGACGAAACTTTTTTGTCAAAAGCACAGTCGAAAACCTTAGTCAAAGAAGTAGAGGTGAATTCGAAGGAAGCATGAAAGCTCAGAAGCGACAGCCTACTCCCGATATCACCGTCACTACTATTGTTCCCACGTTTGATTTTGTTCCGCTCTCTCTTTTCCAACCTACTCTTCTTACTCACCCTATTAGTATGAGTCGGGCAGTTAAGGAACGGGGAGGAAGACCAAATAAAGAATCTTTCAACATCAAGCAGATTAGTGGAAGATGGACTCACAATCGGGACCGCAACGTAACTCTCTAACCCATACCTCCGTAGCCACCGGTATAATCGGTGGTTCCTAACATAACCGTCATTTCCCTGGTAACTAGCCCGCTGCACATATTATCTCCATCGCATGTCTAGGAACCTCGTAGTGCAGCTTATATAGGTATGTCTAGACCAGGGAGAGATGATAACATAGACCACCGGACCTGGACAGGAGTGAAAATCATACCCGAAACTTGACAAGGAGGAGATGAACGGGGCAAACTTAGTACCCCACAAAAGACATGAGAATAAGATAAGAATGATAACGAGGCAACGATAGAGCTTAGTCAAATTACCATCACCAATTCTCACACTTCTCAATTTCTGCAGCGATATCAGATGAGAATAAATATCTCGCGTACTCGGGGCCGAGTCTACGAGGATGCTGGGCCATCGCAGCCCTCCGCGACGTCTTCTGACTCGCCCCCTTCGTGTTCTTCTTCGTCATGGTCTTCATCGTCATTTTTTTCGATCAGCCTCATGTTGGTAGGTTGCTCAAAGGCCCTGCTGGTGTATACATCGGCAATATCCCCGACAATCTTCTTCACCCCGCCGTACTCGATCCCTTCGTTTGCGAAAGCACCTCCAGTTGCGCCTTCCTCATTTTGCCAGGTCGTTGTTGACCCTCTTCAGAAAAGCTTCCCGTTCTTCTCCCACTTTCATGACAAAGGTAACTTTCACTTTATCACCTTGGCATTGACTCGGACCGACACCTTTTCCACGTCTCCTTCTCACAAACAATTTCCTCCGCGAGCTAGATGGAGACGATGTAATCTTGATGCGATTTATTCTTTCTTTCAATGCTGACACCTCAAGTTCGGTCTTGTCCTTCTCGTCCCTCACACGTCGGAAGGCCTCAGTTAGCTTCACCCACTCGGTAGGCGTTTGCAGATTCGCGGTTTGCTTCGGTCTCCCTCGTGCTGGTTCTTCAGAGGGGTTTTTCTCCGTAACAGCTTCGGCCCCTCGCTTGTTCTTCTTCTTCAGGTTCTCGACCTCGCCCCGTAGGATCAACACGTCGTGAATCAAGGCCTGATTGTCACGCTTCAGGTCGTCCAATTCCTTGCTTGCTTTTCCTGTGGCCATCCGCACCAAGTTCTCGTTCTCTTGCTGAAGCCGCTCCATCTCAGCCTTTCTCTGTCATTCAATTTATTCTTTTGCAGCGGCGTCCTCCCTACTCCATCGAATCTCTTGCTCGTCTCTCCTAGCTTCATTGGCGATATCCGCTGCCTTGTCCTGGCTTGCGCCAACTTTCTTCCCAAGCACCTGCTCACAAACCTCCTTCATGTTATTTTTCACCATCTTTCCCAACGAAATTTCAAATTCTTATCGTTCCTTCTTGGCTTTAGCCTTCTCCGCTTCCGCTTCGTCAACTTTTTTCTTTTCCTCCTCCTATTTTCGTTTCCTTTCTTTTTCCTGCTTCTCCCTTTCTCTCGATTCCATCTCCTCAGCATACCATCCCCACATCTTGTCGATACACTCTCCCTGTTCCTTTTCCCGGTTTTCCACCCACCAGTTGTTCTTCTGTCGCTGATTATATCCACCTCGACTGTAGCCTCCATTGTACCTTTGATTATACCCGCCATTGTAACCACCGTTGTAGCCTTGATAGCGATTCCCCTCCTGCTGTCCTCCATCACCTTGTTGCGCTCTGTAAGGTACGATCGCATTCGGGGCTGGGAGCAGTCCGTCATTATCCTGCACAGACGGAGCACGATTGGCATCTCCATTGGCACCGCCTAAAAGGGCGGCTGCGTTCGGGATCTGTCGTAGCTGGCAATCCCTAATGAAATGCCCGGGTTGCCGACAGTGGTGGCACACCCGAGGTCCTCCATAGCTCATCTTGACTGCTCCACGAGAAAAACAGCAACGAAAAAAAGAGAGAGGAAAAAATGAAGAAAAATGAAGAAAATAAAGGAGATGCAGACGAAAACAGAAGCAAAGCCGACAAATTGTCAACGCAGTCAACAGAGTCCGTGCAGACCCAATTCGTCGTTGTTACATAACCACTCCAACGTAGTGAAATGCTACGACGGTTATTATGTGCGATAAAGCATGAATTGATAAGCATGCAAGCATACACAATCCCATTGCGATAGTGGATAGACGAAAAAAAGCAAGGGGGAGAAGAGACAAGGGGAAGAGGACGACAATAAGCAAAAGACAGTTAAAGCAAATCCGAGCACAGGAGCGCGTCTTCGTCAATATCGAGAAAAGAATACACCAAGACGCGCGGCGGCGCGATCCGACACCGCATTTCAACTGGTCGCCAGCCGGTCATCGTCAGGGGTCAAGCCTGGCTTCAGATGAGAATTACTGTCGTACTCTTTCTGTAGCCATTGTCAATACTTTGTTCACTGAACCTGTCCCAGCCTCGAACATAGGAAAAATATAAATAATAGGACCACCCTGGGTACCTGTTTTCGAAGGTGCCCAGACCCTATCTGTAAGATGCTACCATCAGACCCACAAGGACTTCGAAAAAAAGCCTACCAATAGCCTAAAGTTCAGATGCTGGTCCTACCGAGGGCCCGACGTCTGCGGGCTTTGTTTGTGCCTACCAATAGCCTAAAGTTCAGATGCTGGTCCTACCAAGGGCCCGACGCCTGTGGGCTGTGTCTGCACCTACTGTTATCCTTCTCCAGTATGTGAAACAACAGACCCATTCCTTCCATAAACCTTTAAATCTTTGCGAAAAGTTCTTTAAAGCATTGTCGAAGTATTCATAAGGAAACTCCCTCATCCGCAACTCCACTTTCAGAGTCAGCAAAAAACAAGCTTCGGCACCAGGCATGCTATTCATAGTCTTGGCACGATGTAAAAATGACGAAATGATAGCCATCTTCTGCTGTTTTGATGAGTACGAGTAAACTTCTGCAAGCTCTGAAATTTTGGAAACCAAATTTCTTTCCGCCCTGCTGTGGGGTCCAACCCTAAGTACGCCCTTCCACATCCGGCTACCAACAATGCGAAGATGGACCAAAACAAATTCTTAGGTCATTTACGTCGCTTCCCATACCCAAAACACCCAAAACAATTCCATCCCCGCTACAACTCCTCTGCCCTGGCTGCGCCACCGCGCCTGGCGCGGTCTACAGTCATATCACGAATAGAGTAAAAAAAAGGTAGCCCCTTTCCGAATCGAGAAAAGCTGGATATCACGTAGTGACGGAACTTCGCTCAAGCGCTTTCGGATCGGAATCGAGATAAGCGTTGAAGTTGAACGTTGGGCCTCTCCACTACTCCTGAAATGTGCGAAACGAGAGTGAATCTTCCGTTAGAACATGGAAAGATATATTGCCATGATTTTCGTTTTGTCTTTTCTGCATTTCACGATCAGTGGAGCGACGCCCGTTATTTACATAGTCTAGCAGGTGTTTCAGCCCGCGTTCGCCCTCTCCTTGCTCTTCACGACGGGGTTCGAAATTCCCGCTCTGCAACCATCGGTCTGACGGTACTTTTTGCTGGAGGGAAGCTCCCGCCGGAAGCCGGAAGACTGCTTAACCGCGGAAGAGAGCGCCTCTTCACTGTCGTTGGCGCGGCACACAGGGGAGAAAACGGGAAAGATAGGAAATTAATCAAGGGAAGATTTGAAATCAAGGAATGATGAGAAGATCGTAACCGCTACCTACCGGTAGTCGCTGTGCATTGCAGTCGCAAGCGTCGTGCAAAGCACGCTCGCTTTTCTGTGTCCCACAGCAGATAGCAGATCAGATCAGAGCGTGACGAGAGGTTCGCGTTCTCACTGGAATTGGACCCTCCTGTACGGACGAAGTACGGGCAAGATGCCGAAAGTGAGGACTGTACGGACGAAGTACCCTGAGGGGTGGGAGCTCATTGAACCTACTCTACGAGAGTTGGAGCAAAAGATGAGAGAAGGTAAGGAAGGGGGATCTGCTTCTCTTTCTGCCTGTGTCTCTGAGTCTGAGTCGCGTGCTGGTGGTGTTCATGCGTGTGTCTGCTTTCTTTGTCGTAGAAAAGAAGGAAGAGAGAGCGAACAAAAGGAAAAGAAAAAGACGAAAAAAACTTCCGATGCATTTATGATGGAAAGCAATCTGCCACTGCTTGTCGCTCACTATTCGTCCTGTCTTCTTTTCTACTATGCGCGGAGGGAACTCCTCCTGGGGCAAGGTCCCACTTGCACGGTGATTAAGAGAATCTGGCCGTTGATCTTTGCTATCTACGGTCAATATCGCTTAATTCGTGTAAGTGGGACCTAGCCCCTGAGAAACGTCGCGACCGCCGACAACGTATTGCTATTTTTTCCATATCTTTTTCATATCTTTACGTATTTCTTTTCCTTTTTTTTATTTAAAAAGGCTGTATTTCCTTTTCTCCATTGCATTTCTTATCTCGATCACAATTTCCATCGTATTTCCATTTATATTTCTATAGTTCTTTTCCTATCTCATTTCTGTCGTATTTTATTTGCATCTTACAAAAAATAATATAATAAAATAGAATAGAATAAAATTAAACAAAATATATTTGCATCATATGTGGGTGGAAAGAGTGGCGGCGTCCTTCGGGACATCCGTTAAAATTGGAACGATACAGAGAAGGGTAATTAGCGTGCCCCCTTTTATAGAAGAACAAATTAAAAAAAAAAAAAAAAAATTTCACTTCGGAAAAACGCTTTGATAAATCAGAATACAAGCTCCGCATGCTTCAGGAAAAATGCTTTCCAGGATGTATATGATCGCTTTTTCGACGCCTCCTAGATGAACCTGGACGCAATTACGGAAGGTGATGGGCGTGTGGTCGGTTAGCCTCTTCCTGAAGAAGAGTACCGTTGCGCAGCCGATCGAAATGCGTAGAGGGATGTGCGGGTTCTGTGGGCGTACTCGCGCTAGGACTTTTTCCACCATCTCTGGACGTATTTGCGGCCCCAGGTTCATCCAGGCCGGGTCGGAAAAGCGATCATGTTCATCCAGGAAAGCCCTACCGGTAGTGTGACTACGCCCCCTGAGAACTAACCATGCGGAGCTTGTATTCTGATGATCTATCAAAGCGTTTCTCCGAAGCCAAATTGCTTTGCTCTTTTCATCTCTTATTCATCTCTTAATCATATCATCATCATCATCATCATTTTCTTGTCATCATAACTATTTTCCACCATATTTCGTTCTTTTTTTTTGTAATAGCAAAAAGTTTGTTATGAGTCGGGAATTCGAATTCAAAAAAAAAAAAAAAAAAAAAAAAAATCGAATTCGAATTCGAAATTTCTTGCGACACAGTGCCGACACGTAACTGACTTACACAACAAGCCGAGGCAGTGTGTGTGCGACTACGCCTGCAGGTAGGTAGGTGACCGGATATGAAGAAGAGGGGGGGGGGGGGGGGGGGGCCTAGAGGCCTACGGCCCTCTTTTCTTAGCTGGTTGGAAGGGGTTGGTGGTGGTCCCGCAAGGCGTAGCAGTCTGGGGAGAAGCCCCCTGAGGAGGACTGCCAGGAGCGCAGCAGCCGGATACCTGATATGATTAGCGGAAACGCCTCAGTGAAATTGCGATGAAGTTTCATACTGGGAACTGTACATGATACGGAGAGAAGTAAAATGCATATATCTATCGATGCTTGTACGAGAAGCAGTCTATGTATTCGCACTGTTTTTTTTTTACTTCCATATTTCCATCGTGTTTCCACATTTCCATCGTGTTTCCACATTTCTATCACGCTATATCCACATTTTCGTCTCGTCCCCGATTGCCAGCTGTCACGTTGTCGGCGGGGTGTCAGAAGTCGGCGCGGGGTGTTCTTTGCGTCTTCGTCGATTCGGACTTCCAGCATCTGTGTGTTATAACCTTCGAAGGTTGGTCGAAGGTTCATCGTATTTTCGTTTCTACTTCCGTGTTTAGACTCCTACTTCGATATAGATTAGATTACCACCTCTTCTTAGATACTTTGTCGGAGGTTTGTCGATTACTCGCTGCCGCTTCGTCGAAGGTTCTTGCATTGCAGCCCCTCGACCATGACAACGTTGCAATCCGCGTCGCCGTCATCATCGCGAGGAGGACCATCATCATCTTCATCATCATCGCCATATCCATCATCATCTTCACGATGGCGATCATCAGCATCATCTTCCGCCATCGCCATCATCCTCGTCTTCGTTCTTCTTCTTCTTCTTCTTCTTATGGCTTCTGTAGTCTTCTTCTTCCTTCTTCCGTGTTGCTCTTTTCTTTCGTCATCTTCCGGCTTGGATGATCCTCCTCTTATAGTCTTGTATTTTGCTTTGGTGTTTCTTTCCTTAGCGGGAATGACAAACTCGAAATGTGGGAAAAAGCTTCCCAGCTGTGTCAATCAAATACTCCTCCGCGCTCGTTCGCAGACACCAATCGTGTAACGAAGAAAGGCATTTCTTCCGCCTTTCTTAGTTACAAACACTTCCTAAAAAGTCGGGAACTCGTGTAACGAATGAACTCGGGAAGTGTTTGTAAGAGGACGAAAGGCCAATGTCCCCGACTTTTTAAAACCTGCCTACGTGTCAATCTGTCAATCTGTCAATCGGGAATCTTTTGCGAACACTTAGCTCAACCAATCAATCAATCAATCAACCAACCAACCAACCAACCAACCAACCAATCAATCAATCAATCAATCATCAATCAAACAACCAATCAATCAATCAAACAACCAATCAATCAACGAACCAACCAATCAATCATTCAATCAATCAATCACTCAATCACTCGATCAATTAATCAATCAATCAGTGGGTACAAGATTTAATAAATAAATAAGAGAATGAATTAATGAATGAATCGGTCGGTCGGTTGGTCGGTTGGTCGGTTGGTCGGTCGGTCGATCGATCGATCAGTCAATCAATCAGCCAATCAATCAATCAATTAATCAATCAATCAATCAATCAATCAATTAATCAATCAAACAGTCGACCAATTAATCAAATCGATGGAGCAGCATGGCGATGAACCAAGCGAAGTTTGTGCCTGCCCAGCTCGAACTTTCTAAACTTCATACATACATTTGATCGATATATGGATCAATGAGCCTATCAATTGTAGTCACCGCTCATGGCTTCAACTCGAGCTCACATGCGTACCAGCGCGTATCACTTACTTTCGCGCGTATCCCCCTTCATAAAAGCGAATCTTGACCTAAGCACCAACCTGCCTCTACAGATGCATTCTACTGCTAACCAACCCCATCGATCAATCAATCAATCAATCAATCAATCAATCAATCAGTGAATCGGTCAATCGGTCAATCAATCAGTCAATCAATCAATCAATCAATCAGCCAATCAATCAAATCAATCAATCAGTCAATCAGACGGTGAAGCAATCAATTAACCCATTAAATTCCTCGATCCATCGATCGATGAGCCAATCGGTTAATCAATCAATCGATTACTTGATTAATCAATCGCTCTATCTACGAAACCAGTCGATCAATCAATGAACCAATCAATTTTCACGAAGCATACGTCAGCCTGGTCAATCAGTTAATCTGCCGAACCACATATTTTCCTATCTGTCTCTACGTAATTCCCACCGACCCGCCCATCTTGCTACGTACCTGGTTGTATGCTTTCATTTCACCATTCCGCCAATCGATCAATTAACCAATCACTCAGTCATCAATCAATCAAGCAATCAATCAAGCAATCAAGCAACCAAGTAATCAATAAACCAATCGATCGTTTATTCGTGTTTGTATCCTGTTAGAAGTGGATCAACCATCATTCTATGAATCGATCGGCACAAGTTCCTACGTGCGTTCCCATCCACGCACCCATGGTGTCTGGCTGTATACTTCTCTAGCTACCAATCTACCGACCAATCAACTTGCCAATCAATCTACCTACCATTCAACCTCCTAATCTGCCTGCCAATCAAACTATAAATTTTACCTACCAATCAACCAACCAATCAATCAACCAATCGGCCTACCAATCTATCTACTAATAGACAGTGCGGGTGCTCTACCTTTGACCCTACAATTCTACCTTCCTGCCAGGCCAGGTAGACTTGTAGGGTCAAAGGTAGAGCACCCGCACTGTCTACTCGTGGGTAGATTGGTAGGCCGATTGGTTGGTTGATTGGTTGGTTGATTGGTTGGTTGATTGGTAGGTAAAATGTCTAGGTTGATTGGCAGGCAGATTAGGAGGTTGAATGGTAGGTAGATTGATTGGCAAGTTGATTGGTCGGTAGATTGGTAGCTAGAGAGAAGTATACAGCCAGGCACCATGGGTGCATGGATGGGAACGCACGTCGAAACTTGTGCCGATCGATTCATAGAATGATGGTTCATCCACGTCTAACAGGATACAAACACGATTACCTTCCTTCTTTTGTTTCTTTCTTTTTTTTTAAATCTTTTGTCGGCCATTTTTCCCTGATGTGGAATGGCATTTGTATATCGCGGGCCCTCTGTTGTGGTTCCGTTTCTTTTACTCTTGATTATAGTATTTGGATTGTTCTGACTCCGTATCTGTTGGTAGTGTCGACAGCTTTATCTGTCCTACAAGTGAGGTTTGGTTTCCTCCTCCTTTTCTTTACCTCTTTGCCTTTTGGCTGCGTGCAAGTGGGTCCTTCTGACGCACGGGGATAGTGGCAGCCGGCGCTCAACCTGTCATCCACGTGGCCGGCCTTGTACGTAAGAGGTGATGAACAGGCGGAGCTTTCCTTCCTTACTTCTTTCCCTTTTCTGTTTTTTTTTTTTTGCCTTTGCGCTCCGATACAGTGTGACGATATATATACATATACTGGTAAATGTTTATATATTGTCACAAAGTTATCAGAGCGCAAAAGCGAAAATAACAAAAGGAAACAAAAAAGATAATCAATTCATTTTGTTATCTTCTTACTTACAACTCCCCCTGTTCAGAACCTCTCTTGCGTACAAGGCCGCCCATGTGGA